CAATTATAAGCTGCGCCGTTGTAAACTCATTTCCTTGACGTCACACTTCGAGCAGAAGAAGCTCTTGTCGAAAAAATAATCAGCGACGGACTCACCCGGTCCGTGTCCGCCGGAGCATCATCTCGTAGAGTGCGAATCGTCATCATCGGGGAACACCATCTGTAGTTCTTCAGCCCATTTCGACCAAGTTTCCAGTCGCTTCCCGGTCGTTGGATGCCACTCAAGCCGTCCCGCTCACCTTCGATGAAGCAACAGCGAGCGTTATTCCGTCGCTCCACCCGGACTGCGCTGCGCCGCCACCGTGTTGATATGCGCCTCCCAGTCCCGCGCACTTCATGGCGCTCGCTGCCGACGACGAGTCAGAGAAGGCGGGAATGAACGCCGTCAAGTCTGGCATCGCGGTCACCGATGCGAAGCCCGGTTGCGACGCTAGGGTCCGTACGAGCTCACGGTCCGCGGCCATGGCTGTGCTTTCTCGTCGAGTCAACGGGAACACTGAACGGCCTCTCGTCGGTGGCGGAAACAATGGACGCGCACCACCGCCCGCGAAGAAGACTCACGTTCGTCGGCGTGAACGTGGCTGTCGCAGCCACCACTGTTCCGGGAAGGCTCAGCGGTAATCCCACTTCTGAATGCTAAAGTTTTCGAAGTAACATCATCGAACGTTCATAAAAAAAAACTGGTTTATTTAAAGACAACAAAACTGACGGCTGATCAACCCGGCACCATCTGGATGATTGTATGGGTATGGATACTACTGCGGCACCTTGCAACGCACTTTGTAACGGGCGGTAGCTTGCGCCACCTAGCTGAAGTCTAAAAAGCGACGTATTTGCAAACGTGGTCGGTCAGGCTCACGACTGATAGAAATATTAAGAACTCAAACGCGTCACGACAGCAACACACCCCAAATCATTCGAATTTTAACACTGCAATGAAACCACGCGGAGCTCTCAGACGCAGACACGATGAAGCTTGTTTTTTCTGCGTCGACGAAACTCAGGAGCATCGATTTCGCGACCCGGTGCACCACTACACAAACTGCGCGACTGAGAACTATCGACGACAGAAGATTGCTCGTCGATGTTGGTGGGGCAAATAACACGTAGCACTGATGATTAAACGATGGAATCACAGACGTAGTCGGTCATGCTCGCATATTTGTTGATTGTCACCAAGCTGGTGGATCAAACGGTAGATAGCGTATCTCACTCGCTGTTGCAGGCTGCTCACCGCGTCCGTGTAACCAGAGCGAACTGGAAACGACAACAACTACGCTGAGACTGCAGTGGCTACCTTTCACATTCCTGAAGATATCAACTGAACGTACCTTTCACAGTTTTTCTTGCGCTCTTGTTAGGGGTAACCACTGCGTCAACGCAACTATTGTTGTCGTTTCCAGGCGGCTCATTTCTTGATCGCCACGCCGGGAAGCTACGCGTCCACAGCGTGTGCGCAACTTATAATGGTCACTACACTCATTTTGGCACGGTGCAATCGCAGACGTAGTCGGTCACGCCTGCCACCGGAACGCTGAGAACTTGATCAGGGGGCTCACGTACAGCACTGAAACGCCACAGCGCTCGAAACAACGCGAGCTGCTGACGCCATTTCATGACACAGACACAGCGACGAAGCCCAGTGTTGTCCTCATTTCATGGTGAGCGCAGCTAAGCATACTCGGTGCATGCTCCGATTATCCTTTCAGCGCACTTCCATAGTAAACTTTTCGTTCACTAAAAGAAACCTTAGAGAGGCAACTGATAAGTCACTGCACGAATACTTACAAGATCCTTCCAGCTTACTTCCATAACGTTCTTCTAGTGCACTAAAAGATACCCAGGGCAGGCTACTAGTAAGACGCTTCGCATGAACTTAGAAGCTACTTAGGTCTTAGCTAGTTTACTAAAAGTATACTATTACAGTACTTACTTCAAGCATACTAAGAAAGGACACTAATAGTACAAGCCTACTTCTGGCTAGCATCCTTTAAGGACAATTTTAGTATACTTCTTGAGAATGAGTATCTTAAAAGACCGTAAAGTATACTTAAAGTAACCTAGTTTTCGCTAAGGGCAGCCACGTGCGGTAACAGGAAACTCAAGCACAACCCGTGACCCTTGGAGAACCCACGAAACAAGGCCTTAACGACAGAAAAAGCGTTTCACATCACTATCCATTGCCGAAGACGGTGTGCTTACACAGTGCCCAGAGATAAAAGGATGTCGTCAGGGAGGGTGGTTGGTGTGGAAGCAAAGGCGCAGCATGACTCCTTTGGACCTGTCTGAGTGTCCGGCTTTCGGTGAGCTGGTGGAGAGGAGATTATCTTTTTTTTTGGTGGTGAGGGGTGACGTGTATAAAAAGCGTTCGTTGTTCAATTAATGTAGAAGCTGTGTTTGAGACTTGTTGTTGTTTTGTTCGTTTCTTTATCGTTCTGTGTTTTCGGTGACAATGGAAGACTAGATCTGAGACTTTTTTTTCACCGCACATCAACCCTAAATAAATCGACCTACTAAATTTTACACATCACATTGCTCGATGTGAGGCATCGCAAATACAAATTCTTAGCATTTTTTGCGGCATGAAAGCAGCCTGTAAGGTAATATCATGAATATATTATTGACATATATACGGTGTTCCTTAGAGGCTTGAACTTTGTTGGGTCCAATGTATCTTTGTGGCTTAAGGAGGCATATGAACGTGTATGTCCGCTGTTAGATATATGTTCTTATATATTGTTCCCTCGTTATCAATGTAGTTGCGCCTATGTGTATAACAATTGTAGTTTTCTTTAATATATAGAAACTTCCCAGTATCCTCAATAGTGACATTAATTTCAACTAAATTCATAACCTCAAGGCCAATAATATTTACAACTCATACCCACAAAACGTGTCTAAAATATTTCTGGCTACTTGGCAGTTGGGGTATTTTGCATTTTCTACTGCTTGACAATTACGTAGCTCCAATCTAAAAAAAAAAAAAAATTAAAATCCATGTCGCATTTTGCAAGCCACAATAATATATATTGTAAACGTGGCTCACTATTTATTTTCTACATATGATCCAATAAATTTTATTGAATCAGAGGCAGATGAGAAATTCAACGATCGGTTTTGTGATGGTCAGTTTTTTACGACCGAGATAACGACCAATGGCGTCTCGTATTGTGATGCTGGCCAATTCGTTAAGAGCTCTAAATGTACACGTGCGAATCTCTCCACGCTTCCTAACGTGCATTTTGCTTCCGGTTAGCCAATACCCTGACTACATGCACAAGTTCCTTAATGATATGTCAACGCAGCCCCTGAGGATGAGTTATCACTGCTGGTATTCTTTAAGGGAATTTTACATCTTTCCCTTTTTGTTTTATTGAAATATTGCCTCCAAAGTTGCACTAGCACTTTGAGTATTCTACTGCAAAAAAAAAAGTATATTGTGGATTCTACATTACATGCTATTGATCCTGGGTTCGGGGCTATAAATACTGACAGCCAAAGAGACGCGGGTCTTGGCGATTCCAAGGTATATTATTATCGCTTTGAACCAATCAAATTCCGGCACCGGCTTACACAAACACAACAATACGATTCACGAATTAGGATCGCGCCAGCATTCCTTAACCTGCGAGTAAAAATAGTTCTCTCTATCGTCGTTCGGAAACATAAAAGAAAAGGTAGTGTGTGAGCACTCAATATATATTTTTCGTTGCTTTCGTTTCCAGCCAAGTGACTGATATTTCTGGTATGCGAAGTGAAAAAAAAAACAACGAAGCATTACGACCTGGCATAAGTGAGGACAATAGAAAAGGCAAAACAAGAATAATAGAGTCGCAATTAAAACGTGAGCACCTTCATGTGGTGTGGTGAGAGCAAAGCGATGTTTTCCCTCATACCCAACGTTGCTCGATTCATGACGACGGTGCCCGCGTAGACAAGGTTCTATAGAATTATGGAAGGACCCATAAAAATTATTTAAAAATGCAGGAGGACGCTTCAGCTTCCCCTTTAAGAGTGGAACGCGAAAGACGTGCAAGCGTGTCTGCGTGGCCTGGTCAGTAGCGTGGCTTTCAACCGAAAGTTAGCGAGTTCAAATCCCTCCTAAAATTTTTCAAATTTTATTGTTAAGGCAAATTAATATCTTCATAAAGTGAAATCATTTTAGACATGCGGCGGCCTTTAATTCGCACTACATATCATGTTGTGTAATGTCATGTTATGTCATGTTTTTACGCCGTTCATGTCACGCGTGACGTCATGTTTCACGTGAGAGTTCTGGGTTTTAATTTCCCGCGAGGTCATCTGGTTGTTACATCATGACCCTATCGGTCAATCAAGAGTTTCTCATTTCACAGACGCCACCGCCGACGCAGCCGTTCCTGCAACACGAGCTCCTTAAGGCCCTCGATGTAAAAACCCTGATCAGAATCAGATGTGCAGCTCTTGCAAATTCAACAGTTTCTAAGCAATTATTTCGCAGCTGATGCCACATTCTTATTATTAATCATTTTCATCTGAAAAACAAAAACAGCTGGACATCTTAATACACATAAGCTGTGGCTTACTATGTTCAATAGGCTTGCTTAGTCATTTGTTTTTCTGTATTCTTATCGGCGAATGACGGAATCTTATTGGCCAGCAACGCGATAGTATGATGCTCAGAACTCGCCACGGTTTCACCACTCTCAAACCTTTTTGCATATCTGATACTATCGTATATACAATAGGCCATTCGGTACGAACTGCGCATATATGAATCGCACATGTGCGGTTTGTACCGGAGGGCGCATCGTACAGTATCGGACGTGCAAATACGGTTTCATAAAACTCCATATTGTCAAGGACTCAGACCGCAAATACGAACTAGAGACGTTTAGAAGATGCTATAGGTTTCATGGTTTATATTGATTCTATTGAAACCAGTTTATGAAGCCTAAAGTCAAACTTACGACAATAGGTTGAAAAATTCCAACGTAAGATTTATTTCGAGGTTCGGGCTATTTACGCGCTTTTGGCAAGGGTGTAGGCAAGCGGAGCCTGGCGCACAGAGTAAGCCAGTGGTAGTCCGTGCGGCTGGGCGTAAACAACGGGCCCAGTGGGCTGAGCGTAGGCGAGAGGATCAGCAAGCTGGGCGTAGGCGAGTGGAGATGCATTCTCTGCGTAAGCCAGAGGAGCGGCATGCTGGGCGTAGTCCACAGGACCAGCATGGAGGGCGTGCACAGCCTCCGGAGCGGCGTGAACACCCTGCACTGCGACAGGGGCAGCGGCCTTCACAGCGACAGGATGCGGTCCCTCCACGGCTCCAGAGACAGTAGGCGCATCGGCTGGCTCGGAGGTCTTGGTGCCTGGTTCGTTGGTGTCGACGGTTGCACGGAAGCCAGCGCCATCGGCCACGTAATTGACACTACGATGAACACCAGCGGCGTCGGTGTAGCTGTAGGATCCGACCTTGCCGTTGAACTCGTCCCCAGTCTCTTGGCGGGTCAGCCGGGTACCGAACTCGTCGGTGCTGTCGTAGCCGAAGCTGTATGGCTGCGGTGGCTAAGTCGCCAGGACGCGTGAAAAAATAATTAGGTACGTTGAGCTGCTACTTCTTTCGTCCTGGTCCCGAGAATGCGGGTATCGATTTCATCTTGTCTCAACCTCGATGTTCTACAACCAAAGCTATGTCCCACCAGGTTCCACGATGAATCAGCTTTGCTAACCGACAGCTTAAAGAACTCGGGGAGTAGCTCATTATCTTCAGGCGTCTTGATACGTGGTTTTTATAGATATTCTTATTTGCGAATTAATGCCTCCATCTATCGTTGGCTGCGTAGTGATAAGATTATAAGAGCTTGGGGTTCGAAACGTCCGGCGTATGTGTATTGTACTATAGAAACAGGCGTGGCTTAATTCATACACTGACAGTATAAAGCTACGAATCGCAAATGGAGGAGCAAGAAAGAAAACAAAACGAACGCGTTTAATGTCTTTCGTTAAGATAGTTGGTACATTATTATTAAGTGTGAGCTTAAACTTACAGAACCGAACTAAGGAAAGTCATACCAGAACATAACAATCGACCAACAACTTTGCTTTAGTACACCTATTTTTATATACGAAATCATTACCTTCTCCGAAGAAAACGATTACGAATATGAAGTGTGTGAAAGCAAAGTTGTTAGTTTTTGTTCTTGCTCCGTGTTTTCTTCGCTTATTTATTTAAGGTCGACCTGGTCCTTCAACTAACGCAGCTTAATAGGTGTGATGCTATTTACCACCATATTTTCCCTCTTTGCCGAGAAATAAAGCAGCGCTATCAAAATCTCTTACGTTGTTCTCCACAACCTGGGATGCCGCGAAGGCAATGAGGCAGCACAGGAAAACCTGGAATAAAGCCGGATACAGTAAGCTAAATCTTACTTCTCAAAACTGAACCGGACAAAATGCGCACCACTCGACAAAAATTAGATCACAAAGCCGGGCGTGTGGGGTAATAAAGTGCGTTTAAACAAACCCTGTCTGACGGGTAGAAACTCACTGTACCTTTGAAAACATGTTAGAAGCTGATCGTCTTGATGAGAAGTAGAATTTGATGCTCGCTATGAATCGCCGGCTGCTTTTATACGAAACAAGTCAGATTCCTTTTACTACCTCTATCTCCTTAGTCAGTTACGAAAACAAAACAAGTTTGGACATCGGAACCTTCGCAATAAAACGTGAATGTTGTCAGGAAAGAAAGAAAAAAACAGAACCTTGCATTCTAGAGACTGCCTTTTAGAACTCGTTGACATGCATTGCGGATGGGCTTTCTTTCTTTTTCTCTGATCTATATCCCCGCACATTATGCTCACCGAGTCTGAGATCGATAAACAAGATCATGCTTCAAAGGCGCGTGCTTAAAAAGAACGTGGTAATTATGAAGTAGCAACCAAATCTTATGTACATTTAATTTACGATCAGACTTCATTACCTTTGCACGTGGCGCTATTCCGAATGTTTGCATTGTTACCATATCTGGGAATGTAAACTTTATTTAATTTAGTTGTCGCCTAATGTCGATTTCACTTAAAACGGAGGTCAATTTAACATAATCCAAATTTACAAGGCGTGAAGAGTGTAACATATTTTGCTTATAATTTTTACTGTCGTTGCATGTTCACGTCCATTATAGATGCCTTTGTGTTGTGTCTCTGAACCTGTAGATAAGTGTGGGTTTTAAATAAATGTTTTGTCCAAAGACGTATAACGCACACGATTGTTTCGCGTACTGCTTGCAACACCCTTCTCTATCGACCCGGCCATGCTTCCTTGATTTTGATCACCGTCATCTCACACAGATTCTTTCTCAAACTGCTGAAATCGTAAAAATAAAAGGAACCGGAAAAAACAAATTTCCCAACAAAACCGCGACATCAACCCATATGACTACGACGTTGTGCATTCAACAAATTGATGTTGGAAGAATACGTGTGACTGAAAAGTGCGGACGACCTTCGACTTGTATATATATATAAAATATTTGTTTATCTTTTTACAAGAACGGATGTTGTAGACTATGGCGTCCGGTTTCAGGAATATTACAGATTAACCGGCGCGCAACAACAAAGGTAGGACAGCATATCAGTGAGTAAGTGCTTTAAAAAGACGGTGTTCAAGCAAAACAATAAAACAAACTTAGTATAGCGAAAGCAATGAATACGAGGTAAGTATGAGTGTCCTTAAATTATCTCTTTTGTCTAAGATCACCTCTCATTTTCTGGATTTGCCTAGTGTTGATAAAAAAAGTTCCCAATTTCTTACGAATAATTAATGCGAAATTTTTATCGCTTTCCTTTTATATTAAATAAGAGAAGAAAAAAAACTGCACTAAGGTGTTTTTTAACTACATGTCTTCAGCGTTGATTTTTAGTGACTTACCGGCTAATTATGCATGGTGGGTCTTCGGTGCAAGGCAACACCTACGGTGAGTTTATATGCAGGGCATATCAGCTGCATTTGTATTTATAGTTCACAATAGCGCAGATCTTCCAATATATTAACGAATATTTAATCATTAGTGTTCGAAAGAAATATGTACCCCAACAGGACAAATGGACGTCATTAAGGCAAGTAATACATAGTCGTCTAACAAAAGCATGTGATACTTTAGGCTTCAGTTTTATGCGAATAATGTCTTTATCTGATAGTATATAAAACTTCAAAATATTTTTTCGAAGTTTTTTCAAATTTCCGGTGTAACGAACTCAGAATAAATACACTGAGGAATTATGGAGATATGTGAAATCGGTGTGCAATTATTAAACTAATTTGTGTGACCGTTAATTGGGTGTAATTTAATATAGTAGTATATTAATAATCGTAAAATGTAAAATATCAATATTTTTATTAGACAAGCGATGAAAAATGCTAAAGTTGGTACTAAAAATAAACGCCTGCTTTTTATTTGAAAAATGCCTTAGTGCTTTGTTTATATTTTTGAATTTACAATTCCCTTTTCACCGCGCATTCTCTGGAAAGCAACTGATAAAAAAAGCATTAGCAAAGGTAAGCATTTTTTCCACAGTCAATGCTACCTTCTAGACATTAGCAATAGCAATGTGTCTAACAGATATTATGTTCCACATTTGTTATTTTGATGATAATAAGCTTTTCATTTTTGTGACTCATGATGACGCTTGGTGTGATTTTTTTTCTCTTTCCACAAGGACCGTTTTAGTTACCTAACACAACTTGCTCACAACTTGCGCGATATTGCATTCAGCGTTAACGTATACCAGCTATGTGGTCACTAATGTTTTGCAGATAATAAATACCTAAAACATTATCCTAGCCTTTCTCCAAAACAATACTACGAAGCACAGTTGGCATACTTAAGTCAAGAGTTCTGACTTAAGTAACCATTCATGATAGCAATAAAACTAAAGCATTTTCCTCACCTGCCATTGATAAAAGGAACTTCAGATTTTGCGCATTATAAAATGACCGCGAGGTCAAAATAAACTACAATTAAAACGCTTAAATATATTTCTTTCTAGGGGCAAAGGGGGAGGGGGGTATGGTTCTGTGAGGTCTAAAAGGGAATAATGCAGAAAAATATTTACACGTATAATCAGCCATTTTATTGTCAAATCACCCGAACAACATGCTAGTGCTTTAAACAGAAACTCAAATTAAATAAGAGTTATTACAATCATAACCAAAGCAGGTGACAATGGGGATGCCAATAATGACATATTCAAGCCGTCCAGGCTAAGGAAGAAAAAACGAGGGGGAAGAACCGTCGTTTCGAAAAGTGAAAGAAGGGTTAAAAAGTTGCAATTCTATTTAAGATCTATATTTTAGCTGTTTCCACACCTCTTGTGGTTCGGACAACCCAGCGGGCACGGAGAGAGTAACTAAAGGGTGATTCCACGTCAGTTCATGCAATGATGGTCCGGGTCATAATTTAGATATTTTTGTTAAAAATATATATGAAAGCCATGTTCTTGGGAGGAACATTCAGCTAGATATAAACGCCGTAACAATTTTTTTCGCTGAGATATAAAACAGAGAAGCTTGAGGCGTGGAAATTGAGAAGATTTCACAATGCTACTTTGCACAGTCGTCATTTCCTTATCGAACCTTTCACGGCACCATAAACTTTTTAATAGTTTTTTTACTTAAGGTTACAAAACACATACACAAACAATTAAAAATATCCATAAAATATTTCAATGCAAACAAAAATATCAAACATGGCACAAAAACGCGTTTTAGAGACATATTCACAATTTTTTTTGCAAATAAACCATCTTTCATAATACTTCACAAAACATATCAAAATGCGCGTATTTAAATATTCTTTACGAATATATAAAGATAATATGCCTACCCTTAAATATATTATTGTTATCAACGCGGAAATGCGGCTGATTTCTCGAAATGTGGCAAGATTGGGCGTCTATATTTAAAAAACTCCATCTTTTATTTTCTTTAAACTCCCCTTGGCACTTTGCAGTGACTTGAACTAACCTGTGATGGCAAAAGCTTGAGTAACATATGACCTCCAAGCGGGAAAAGCTACGACAAACCTTCACTCGGAGCGAGCCGACGTCTTCGTCATAGCGGCTTTGCCGCACAGCACCAAACGTTTTGAGCGTTATTTATGGCATGTATTTTATATTATTAAAATTCTTTTTTTCATCAGGGCTGAGTATTAGTGACGCGAAAAGGAACTTTGAGCTGGAATGCCATTAATTAGCTTACAATTCACAGGAATAAAACGGCCCCACTCTGCGAATTCGCTACCTATGCTTCATACATAAGCTTGAAATTCTCAGTTGCGCAAATGGCCATGTATACATCTGGCCTCTCGGCATATGATGACTTTCACATATGAGTTTCCTGGATTCCTTTGACAGGTTTTACGGTGGTCCACTTTGCTTGCTTCACCGCACGAAACTCTCGAACTCGAAGACAGTTGTGAGCACTGCGCAGAGTGGTTTGACGCGTTTTGCGAAGTGCTGAAGGCATGTAGTTCCCACCAGGAACGCAAGCGATTGTACGCGCTTCTGCCACCAATCATCCTGAAGAAAAAAATATTGCGTCTGGTGTCGGAAGCGACTGCCTACATGATTGATCAAACATGAAAACTGAAGCGCAAAGGTGGTGTTTGGGCAACCCCTGATCCCTACATGGGGAAAAAGGCGAATGCCGAAGACTTGAGGGTTGCAATTGAGTACTACACAGGCGACGACCTCGCATGCTCTGTTCAAAGCCCCAACAAAGAGGACGTCGTCAAAGCCATGATCAACGACATCTTCAAAGTCGTAAAAAGGTTTATGACCCGCTCTATTAAGGAAGCTTACCAGCTGTTTAGGAAGGACCATCCCCATCCCGAACTAGGCATCTCCAAATTTTATTCCCTACGACCAAAATGATAAAAAAAAGTCCCGAGCACGAGGTGTGCGCATGAATATATTGCGTCAATTTTCAGTTGCTTTTAACGGCAATAACAAATGCCCCAAAGAAGACATTTACTGAAGACGACCTCAAGCGCATCTACCTCTTCTGCGCTCCACAGAACGATTGCTTTCTGCGCCGTTGCGAAAAGTGCCCAAAAACGCAGAGCATCTCGCTGCAGTCGCTTCATCTCGACGAAGACGAAGAGATCTTTTTCGCGTTATGGGACGCTGGCGAACTCGTCAAAAAGGTTATGGACACTTCTGCCTTCCTGCGGCAATAGGAGAGTGAAAAGTATATGAGGCAATCTTACATCCTTGACCTTGAACGAAGCCTGATACATGACACAAGAACCGCCTTACCACCCAAGGCAGTGATGTTCCACTTCGATTTTGCGGAAAAATGGACAGTACTCTTTCCAACCGAAGTGCAGAGTTTTCATTGAAAAAAAAACTTGTGCCTCTCTCCACAAGTGTGGTTACGTCCACGCAAGGCACGCAAAGCTTTGTCGTTGTCACCGATGGTACACGACACATGACACAGCTCACGCTCTTCTATACTTCGTTTCAGCTTCGGTCCGAGCGCGGCCGATGTTATGAGCGGAAGGGCCAATCAT